CTGGTTTCGTACACGTGGAGGGTGGACACACGGGCGCGATAAGGCGCGCCGCGCGAGCTAATAATTATAAGCCATTATTATTATCGAGCTCGTTCAACGTGCTGTATCTGGTCAGTCGGCTCAGCAGCGCCCGTATACGTATAAGGCAGCGCAGGGTCCACCGCTCGTTATCCGTGTACGTACTCTCTTCTACTATATATATTTATATTATGGTCAAGAAAATGCCTCGGCAGTGTGACCCCGATCTCTCTCGCCGGCTACACACTCGTGTCCTTGTTTTAGGGCAAGTATACTATATGCAAAGAGACGGTAAAATTGATGCTTAAATGTACGTCCGCTCGTATATAATATGTATACTCGAAACTATAAGCCTCTACTCGAGTTTGCTCCGTTATTCATTATACCTTCCTTTTTTTTCTCTATTTACCCGAGTTGAGTATACATACCGAAAGAAGTTACATATAATATAATATGTTGCAGTCAAACGTAACGGTATAAAACCAGACTATTATATTATAACATCGGTACAGAGCTTTATTGATACGCGCAATGGCGTAAGTCTATAAGATCACGGGGTCTGGCAGTGTTTACCCATATACTGAATATGCATAAACTCGGCGGCAACAGCAGAGCAGCATCGCACAACGCAGGGGGTATATCTTTGGCACACATCCATTAGATCAAGATATTAATTAGCAATAAGCGACAACGGCTGACCGCACGTCGGTTTACACTACTGGTGTACGCATAAAGTACAGCGTCTCTGTATAATGTAGTAGAAAATACGTAAATTAACGGATATATATGTACATATAAAAAGGGATAAGTAACAAAAAAAGAGGAGAAGAAAATGAAGGGAAGAAGGAGTTACACACTGCACCAACTCCATAAAAGGCCAGCCGTAAAAATAAACGGATCCCGCCCAGGACGTGTCCGCTGTTTCCTAGCTAAACTAGATACGACTTCTCGAGGGATAAAAGGAGGGTAGGGGGCACTTTTCGCGATACTCGCGAATACGCTCTCTCTTTTACGCTTTCTCGTATAAATAAATACATATGATGCTTTGGTGTGCGTGTAGCAGGGAAGCAGTAGAATCACCATGTGCATTTTCAACTTACGCTATATATACGAGTATTCCTCCTATTATACTTCTGCCACTGTCTCGTGCGCGTATCTGTTTTCTTTTTATTCCTCCTTGTGGCCGTGGTTTATTCGACAGCCAATCTCGTTACGCTTGTACTTGTATATAGTACGTATATGCGTGCAGGAAGCTTGTTTTCTTATTCCATAAATGAGTACGTTTTTTTTGTTTTTTTTTTTTCTTTTTTTTCTGTTTCACCGTTAACTCCAAAAAAGTGGACATGGTCGAAAAGGATCGGACCGGACCGTAGGTCAGGACGAGAGGGGACCCACGCACCTTGTTATCAAAACGCCCGTGTCGAGGCCGGCTGCACGCATGACCGCTTCCGGTTATTAAATCAGGCACGCGCGCCACAAAAGGAGGGGGGAGGGAGATCGGCCGCGCCGACGACCGCCCGGATATCGCCTTTTTTCCCCCCGTTTTATTTTGAAGAGACGAGAGGGAGGAGGCACACGCGCGCGCTATAGACTTTAAAGTCCTTCGATTCAATGTGCCGCGAAATGTGGCGGCTGTGGGGGCTGGCCCTTACACCCTATAGAAACGACGTCTTTTGCTCCCCAATTCGGTTATAGACAAACGAACGGGCGTATATATATGTGTGTATACATATATTGTGGAGATCAGAGTCGCGGATAAAGGATATAATATGTACGTATGTGGGAGAGTACACATAGTGGGGGGGGGGGTTACAAATGTCCCGGCGAGCGTCTTCGTGAAATCTCGTTTCTCCTTTGATTTTTTCTCGCGGAATCGGATACGCCGCCGGGAGGGAGGCGCGTGGTTTTAAATAAATTTCGTGCCCAATACGCGGGACGCGTGCGCCTCTTACATGCAGTATAAGGCGTACAAATAAATCATACATATATACGGCAAGAGAGAGAGAGAGGCTCATCTCTTATTGCGGGGCTCCTTAAACTTTTCTCATCTCCGACCCGCTTCGCCGAAATAATAAATATCATATCCCGAGGAGCTCCCGCGTCCCGGTCCAATGAAGCGGAAGAACGTATATAATGGCATAATAGTCGGGGAGGAGGTAAGGAGGGGCCCTGCTGGATCCTATACGCTACAAGAGAGAGATAATTTAGTACATCGAATCTTCTCCCCCACCCCCCACCCTCCATCCCTTTGACAGACTACTACTTCTTAATTGACCCGTGCGTGTATGCGTGTACTACTTTTTTTTCCCATTGCATACGTGGAGCGACAAAACAATAATCGAGGACAACAGATATAATAACAATAATAATAAAGTCGCCACGGTATCTTTGGGACTGTAACAATCACGGTATATATTCACCAATCGCCGAAAACTTTGCCCCATCACGAGTATTTCGTGTGTTTAAACGGTACGGGGGAGGGTGAATCGAAGCGCGCCCGGGAGTAACGAGCGTTTACACACTCAAAGGCCAGAGAGAGAGAGAGATCAGGGGGGGGGGGTTAACAAATTATGTCGAAGCGATTGCGGTGTCTGCGGCCACTGCTAGCCCACCCCCGACCGACTGTATGCACGATGGTAGCGCCTGTATATATATAATACATTGTTACCCTTGCCGCTTCCCTCCTCGTTTCGGGGTGTACTCGTCATCATGGTCGTTGCAGAGATTGAGGAAAGGAGGGGGAGGATAATCACCGCCGTTGCGCGGATCTCCTCATTATCTCATAATTAAAATTACCCCTTCGCCACCACCACCACCACCATCGCTCTCTCTCTCTCTCTATCTGCCGATCGTCCGTTTGGACGAAGTTTGCAGAATCGCCCCGTTTTTTTTCTTCTTTCATCCGCATTTTCGTATATATTGTTTCGAATGAACAAATTCATCCGTAGGAAATGTATGCATGTTACCACTACTACTCGTGCATGCGAGACTTTTTGGGGGTGTGTGGGGGGGGGGGTCCACGTATGGGGCTCTCACGGGATACACACGACAGGGACGATTTTATCGCGTTATAGGTACACCACGCGGAAGAACGAGCATATCGAAGAGGGCACCACGCAATAATCATCATCATCATCATCATAATAATCGTCAAAGTCAAAAGGCCAGTGATTCCGAAGTAATTGATAAACGAAGTATAAGGCCACCGGAGACTGAAAAGGGTATATATACCACACGCTGAGCAATTCGTTCCCCCTTTTTAGCGACGCGTGTCTATATGCATATGTACGCGTGCACATATACACCCGCTTACACGTACGTGTAAGTATGTATTGGTGGAGTTTTAAAAGATATGACACGTATAATATAAGGGCGTAAAGTATCTCCCTCGATTTATTTGACAACGTCGAAAGTCCTATCCCCCGAAAGTTTGAATCTGAAACGGGGGGGGGGGAAGAAGCGTCGCTTTTGAGCGTGAAGAAAAAAAAAAGTGAAGAAGAGATGTAGAAGATATTCGGGGGGAGGAGGGCGCGCACCCTTTCCGCAATTGCGCGTCTCGCCATTTAAAAAGACAGTGTCGTCCGCGAGAGAAGGAGAAAAAAAAAAAAGAGGCTTATCCGACGAGCCAGTGAGAGAGAGAGTCTTTGCTCGAATTGACATTGAATTTTAATAGGGGCGGGGTGGCGAATCGCGTATAACGTGTATACCTATACTCTCTCGCTTTTGGTATATATATATATATATATATATACCGAGTGGCGTTTAACTGTGTATAAAGCGAGCCGCTCTAAGCTGCCGTTATGCTTTGAGGACGGCGTTCTCTCATAAGACGCGCGAATTGGCGGAGACCGAGGGCTGGGAAAGAAGCCGGGAAATTGTTTTCAATTATATTCATAACTCGGCACTCGGGGTCCCGAACTCGAGGTAAATAGATAGAAACAGCTTAGCTCTTTGATGCCTTCTTATATTTTTACCTTTCATCCGCAGTTATACATATACATATTATAGTTGTTGCTGTGCTCGTTGCAAATTGAAAAAAAAAAAAAAAAAAAAAAAGAATATATTCTTGTATGCGGGGACGTGTTTGCAATCGGATACATACATCACGCATCTGGGGCACTCTCTCGCTCGAGATTTGATTTCGACTAGCCGCGATAAGGGTCGAGGATACATAGTCGGGCAAACTATACACACGAGAGCTAGTCAATCCGCAGAAAGAGGCATATAGGCGACGACACTCGAGACACTGCACGTGCGACGCTGTTACTGGTGTGTGTGCACTGGGTGTTATATATATATATGTATGTATGTATGGCCCGGAGCCCGTAATATTGGCAGCGAGCTTCTACTTCGGGGGTATATTAAAGTTTCGAGTGAATCTCTGTATACAGTATAGCTGCAGACTCAGCAAGTGTCATTAATAACACATATCGTGTTCGCGCGACTACTTTTCGCGAGCGAGAGTACCGACACCTCTCACCTCCATACACTCGCAAATGCGCGTACACTTTTATAATATACCCCGCGAGCATTAATCATCTCACTCCGGTATCATCGTCTTTATCACGTGTATCGCTCATCACCGAGACTTTGGGTCGCGCGTTAGAGGTAGTATCCATGCACTTGTGGTTTGTGTATTGCGCATAATCAGCCTCCCTCTTTGAAGTACATATTATGTATATAGAAAGGCTCAAACGTGTATAAAGAACCACTCGATTTGTTATACTTGACGTCTGTTTTTATTCTGCACCGATTCGCTTTTCACGGAAAGATGACGATGGTGCGAGTACTCCTTTTCCGGGACGACGAGCGAACTCGAGATTTCTCGCGCAGGGGTACGCTGCTGCCGGCTGATTGGCTTCGAAGCGCTTATCGCGTTCTTGACGCTACGCGCGTCTTCTATAGTAGGTGGATTGCCAAAACCGAAAAACAATATTGCCGTAAGCAACTGTAATTTGCACATACAATATCAAAGAGAGGAACTAACCTTTCCTACTCGCCGATACTCTTTTGCTGCTGCAATTAGACATCGTGCTCTTCAGCTCGTTGATGTTCTTCCTCTTGTTCTGCTCCTCGTAAACGTCCCTTTCGTGGGTATTTCTCGAGCACAGCAGGTTACTTTTGCAAATCTTGTCGTGCAGCTCTTGCAGCTGGTTCGAGTTTAGGGTCTGAAAAGCATTGTTTGTTTTTGTTTTTTTTTTTGTTTTTTGTTTATGTTTCCTCAAGGGCACGCGTGACAAATGTGTGAAAGCATGAAAAAATAAACGAAAAGCCATGGATTAACTTGAAGCCAATTTTGCGAGCCGCATATCTTGCCCTCCTCGTTCTGCATCTCCAAGTACTTGGCCTCCAAGCAGTTGATGCTGTCCTTGTGGTTTTTCAGTAATTCAATCTCGTTCTGTTTGTACTGCTTGTGCATTTCAGCGAGCTTATCTTCGTACGTCAACGATGTTTGCTGTAACGCGAGATGTACGGCTTACGTGACGATTTTGTTGTGATTCACCCGCTCTACGTGTCAACGGCCGGCTCACTTTTAATTTCTTCAACAGCTCGGACCTCTCGCGGTTCAGGATTTCCACGCGATTCGCCAGGGCGGCCGCGCTGTCGTTGTCCTCCTTGTTCGCACTGCTGACGAGATCTTTGAAGCGCTCGATCTGCTTGTTCTTGTCATCGATCTCCTTTTCCTTCATCATCAGCTCGTTTTGCTGATAACGCATCTACCGTGTTCTCCCCCCCCCCCCTCTTCGTTATAACGCAAAGCAACCAGCAAGAAGCTTGTTTATGAAAAACTGTAAATATGTATACCTTCTCCGTAAGGCTTTTCACTTGGTTCTCCAACTCGTAGACATTTGTCGCATCGTTGGTAGGCGCGACAGAATTGCACGATTGCTTCGAGCACTGGTTGAACTTGTCGATCAGCTCGTCGCACTTGGAGCACAAGTTCGTCCGTAGGAAGCTGCGCCTCGTGGCTTCGTCGTCCACGAGCCGCTGGTTCAGGCCCCTCAGATACCCGACACGCTCCTCCAAGAGCTCGTTGTCCGCCATTATCCTCCTCAGGTCGTCTTGCAACTTGCCGTTGCTCCCCTCGACCGCGTTCAACTGCGACTCCAGCTCCCCCACTTTCCCCACCAATAGCTTCTTCTCCTCGGCTAATTCCGAGATCTTGCTCTGTTGCACGGAAATGCTCTTCAGGTTGACCTCCTCCAGGGCGCTCTGCAGCAGTGCCGTCATATCTTTGGACTTGGCGAGGGCCGAGTTCAGCTTGTCGATGTCCCTGCCGGCCTCCTTGATTCTCGCCTCCTTTGCTTCCACCTGTCTTCGCAACTTGCCAATACTCTTGCTCTGCTCCTTGGCCAGAGCTGCGTTTTTCTCGCAACTCTTTCGGTACTCATCTTCGATGCTCTTCATCTGCTTGTGCAGCTGTTCGTTTTGTTTGGTGTAAGAGTCGATTCTGCGGACGAGTAAATTTTACATGAAAACAAAAGGGGGGAGGGGGGGGGGAAAGAAAAGCTCGTCTATTCATGGCGATTCGGAGTGACCTTGCTTGCAGCTCTTTGGTTCTCTCAGTGGAGGTCTCTTGTAGTTTTTCAACGGCGGAAGCGAGCTCTTCGCACTGCCTTCTGCTGTTTTCGTACTTATCTCTCAGATCGTGTCGCTCACCGGTGAGCTTTTGGACGCTGGACTGAGCTCGCTCCAGTCTACTCTCTAGCTCTACGATGCGTTTTTTGTGCGACACGTTCAGAACGGATTCTACCGGTGACCGATCCCATCAATCGAACGATAAATACATGTCTGCTCCCAACATCTCTCATTAAGAACAAGAGCATATTTTATTGTACCGTCTTGAAGTACCGCGGTGACCCTCACGGCGATGCTGGTGTATTTCTTGACGCGCTGTAAAATCATCAGCAGAGGATTCCTTAGTGGGAAATTTTTCTTCTCCAACTCGTCCGACTTGTCGTCACACTCGTGGCTCACTTTTGAATCCAAGCCTTAAACAACCGACGATACATTTAAAATCATACAGTATATCGATGAACCATGTACAAATGAAGGGTGAGTAACAGCTGCCTACTAGTAATCTTCTTCGCGGCGGCGTCGAGCAAGTCCTGCAGGGTCCCGAGCTCGAGCAGCAAAACGCTCTCGCACTCGCGATAAGCCTCGTGCTCGCCGATCGTCCGGTCCAGCCTTTCGAGTGCCCGCGAGGCCTCGCTCGCCACCTCGGTGTACGCCCGCTCGACCATCTCCACGTTGCGCTCGTCCAGCTGTACCAGCAACTCCTCGAAGATGCTCCCGAGCTCGGCCTTAATTTCCGCCCCCACGAGGACACTCCTCAGCCTCGCCAGCTCCCTACTAGCCTCGAGCTTGATGTGCTCGTAGCCGCGCACCGGTGTCACCTGCAGCTGGGCCCCCAGGCAGTCTATCTCCCTGCGAAGGCGCGACCGGTGCTCCCGGCACCTCTTGTGCTCGCTGACGATGCGCTCGAGGACGCGGGTGAGCTGGCGCGCCTGGGTGTACGGCCCTGCCTCGTCGCCGTCATTGTCCGGGCCGATCAAGAGCTCCAGTAAGTCCGGGGAGCTGAGCTGGTGCAGGCACTCGCTCAGATCGTCTATCAACTGGCTCGCCTCGCGCTCGTTGCTCTCCAACTGGGCCCGACACTCGCTCAGCTTGCGCTCCCTCGACTCGAGCTCCTGCCTCGACCTCGAAAGGTCCGCCTAACGGCCACACGGGTCACAAAGCGCATCTTTCATTCCATCCTGCAAGTAACGCTGCAATTCCTGTACACCGCACTCACCGCGGTTTGCTCGTACATGCAGTTCAGCTTTTCGATTATCCGGACGCACCCGGCGATCTCCTCCTCCTGCTTGCGGTTCCTCCTGTCGAGGCTGTCGCGCTCGTGGCCCAGTTGCTTGGCCGTCGCCTCCTGCGATGTCTTCAGAGCCTCGGCCACCTCGACTCGGCGTCTCGCGGCCGTCAGCTCATCCTTTTGCGGGACACACGCGAGAAGTCGACTCGTTGAGATCAATTTCTTACACTCGAGAGTTGACTCACTAATTTCGTACTTAAAAACCACTCACGAGGAGGCACTTGCGGGAGTTTTGCGCTTCGCACAGGAGACTCCGCATTTCCTTGACCTCGACCTGTTTGGCCCTCAACTCGCGCTCGAGCCTCTCGATCTGCCAGACGTAATTGTTCGTACAACTTGGGAAACGTGTTTTTAATCAGTAGGCCATTATAGACTGTTACGTTTTTTTTCAGAATTTCCGTTTCCTCGACCCTTTGTAGCACCGCGTCTTGCAACTGTCCTTGAGATATCTGAAATTTTCAGGGTACAAGCTATACGAGAGAGAGAGAGAGAGACAAAACATTAACACCATGAAATTTCAATGTAATTAGTGCACCGAACCCGTGAATTGCCCTCCAATATCTCGACGTGGTCTCGCAGTTTTTTCAACTGCTCTTCGAGCTCCTTGACTTCCGTCTCCTTCACCTGTATTTATGTGTATTTACGTGTATTTACGTTTACAGACTTGAAAGCAGGGAAGAATCGCATACGAACAGCCTTTTCGTTCTTCAGGGAAATGATTTCCGAATCCTTTTGTATGATGGTAGCCCGAAACGCCTCGTCCGTCAGCCCGGGGATACGTTGAGCATCGTCCTTGCAGCACAGCTCATTTTTACAGGGACAGCCGGGTTCGCCAACCTCGCTCGGATCCCCGTGCTTTTTACTCAGATAATCTACAAAGACTCACGTGGTTTCAACAACTGATGTAAAGTATTTATCACACGTATACCTGTAATGAAAGCTCGATTGTCTTCTATCCTCCTCCTGAGGGCCAGTTCGGCGCCTTCGTCGCAGTTTTCATCGGCAAACTGATGCAAAATAAATAGCACACAACTCGATCAAGTTGTTCAGTCAATAACTTGTGGACACGACTTACGCGTTCAAGCTGCTCGGCTTGCTCGTCCGTGAGTACGAGGCTTTTGAACTTGTCGAGTTCGCGCCTGGCCAGCAAAAGTTCGTTTTCGGTGCCGGTGCCGAGGTCGATCAGGTGGTCCACGATGGCGCGGTAGCACGAGTCCCGCAGCGAGTCGAGGGAGTCTTCGCAGCAGAGCGGTGGACAGTCACCACCCGAGTGGAGGACATCGTCGCGGTGTCGCAAACTCGGCAGTGGGAATATGTTCAGTCCGTAGTCAACGAAGGACATGGTGCCTTACCGATCACTTACCGATTTTTTTGAAGAAAAAAAAAAAAAAAAGCCATTTCTTCGAAATTCAAGGGGAAAGAGGCGTGATTAGTTGTACAGAAATGTAACACGCGGATATGACGAGGCTTGTTTAACCAAAGCGTTGCTCTTTTGTTACAAAATACATGTACAGCATTGTATAGGAAGCTGGAAATTATAATGAAACTGCAGGTGTGGTTATTTAATTGACTGTACATATACACACGGGATACAGTAAAATATTTTATTCTTCGTTAGCTGCCATCGCACAATGTCAATACAAAAGTGCTAAATCTTTTTTTTACAATATATAATACTTTTTAAGACATTTTTCCAGTCGATCAATTACTTTTTAATAATTTCTTGTGACTACTGGTATAGAGAGAGTACGAGAAACGCTTTTTTCTTTTTCTTTTCTTTACGCAAGATCCCATAAAATCATCAACGTATGAAAAGTGTCGTGAAATCGATTGGTACAGACAGCAGGGAATCACGTATAGTAATCGTTTATCGCAGTTATATATTATTTCGTACTTTATTGTTTCTTTTTTTTTTTTTTTTTTTTTTTTTTTTTTTTTTTTTTTTTTTTTTTTTTTTTTTTTT